CGAATCGGCTCCAAAGCTGGACGACACCGTTGCTCGGATATAATTTTACAATAGCTCATGTGCCAACGATAGATTGCAACTACGCCGATGCGCTGTCTCGACTTATCGCAAAACAACCGAGCCTAGAAGATCAAGTGATCCCGTCAATTGCGCTTGAATCGGACGTGAAACAGCTTCTGTGTAATTCAATCAGAGCTCTCCCGATTACCTGTGGAGCTTCAAGAGCACACGAAGACCCTCTTTTGCAAAACGTTGTTCGGTTTTTAAGTAAAAAGTGGCCAAACCGGATTACTGACACACACCTCAAACAATTTTATTGTCGAGGTGACACGCTAGCACTGATTAATGATTGTGTTATGTTCGGTGAACGCGTGGTTGTTCCGAAGTTACTGTAAATCAGGGTATTAAGATATTTGCACCTACATCACCCCGGAATATCACGGATGAAAGATTGTGACAGTAGTTACGTATAGTGGCCTTTTATTGACAAAGCTATCCATGATTGTGTCGCCACATGCAGCAATTGTGCGTCAGCAGCGAAACTTCCAAGCAAAATCATCCAACCCTGGAGGCCAGCCTCTAAGCCTTAGGAGATAATTCAGGTTGATTTCGCTGGTCCAGTACGAAAACTGCAACAGTTATTTGCACAGTCCAGTTCATCAAACACCTTAGTTTCCGATAACGGTTCGTAATTTATCTCCGACGAATTTGGTGCTTTCTGTCAGCGTAATGGTATCAAGCACTGCCGGTTGCCTCCGGGGCATTCCCAGTCCAACGGGTAAGTAGAAAGATTCGTGAATACCTTCAAATGTTCGATTCTAAAACTGCGGGCGGAAGGACCGACAGAGGAGATCATACAGCTGTTCCTGTTAATTTATCGGGCTACTGTACCGCTGTACCAGGCGGCAGATCCCCAGCGGAAGCTATGTTCGGGCGTAAGGTACGTCTCCCAATTGATGGAATACGCCCTAAGGTCACGCAACGGCCACTCACACCAGGCGTGAGCAGTTTTCTACGAGGGGAGCCGGTGTACAAGTTGGATACAAGGCCGAACCACCAAACCTGGCAACCTGCAGTGGTACGAAAAATGAAAAGCACTGTGTTGTACGAGGTGTCTATCGGACCGTTGTCTCTCGAACGGTAGGTCAATCAGTTACGCAAACGACGGATCTGACACACAGTCACTTCTACTTTCGAGTTACCGTTCGATATACTGCTGGACACGTTTGAACTACCAAAAACTGTGGGTCTTACTGAACCGACTGGAACGTGCACGGAGCCATGCCACAGAGTCACTCGGAGACTTATGCGGACAAGTAACCCGATCCGACGTTTACAGGTGAACCCAACACTTCATTCGTATGAGTCTGCGGAACGTGTTTTCAAAGGGGAGATGTTACACCAGGCGATCCGGTGCCTCAAAAGTACAATGTCGTCCCACACGCCTGATCGTGAACTTCACTCTCACCCAATGGTCTGCGGTGGTTCAGGAGCATCACGCCGCCGCCTGACACACACTGGTACCTATATTGTTGGCTGTTTTGCCTGTTTCATATGACTTGAGATCTGGTCCATACAATGTCCAGTGCGGTGTAAGTCTTTGTTCCGAAGGCTCAACGCCCCATTAACCGCAATTATAACAAGATGCTCACTGATGTTCTGATTACCGGTCGAGGATGGATCCCCACTAGCAGAGGGGGGGTAAGGTCATGTAGCAAAGCGCGGCATACGATATGATAAGTGGTTATATTTGGTGCGCCAGACAGTTCGTTCTGAGTGGCAACTCACTGTGAGAAACCGTCATCGCAGAAGCGAAAGATGTCAAATGCTTTCACCATGAACAGGTTGGGGAGCTGATATCGGAAAAAATGTCCGTTATTATTTACAAGCCCACTGGGTACCGATGTAACCCCCTTGGGTGTGTAATATCGTATAAAATTCTTCTTTTGGTGGATGCATCGAGTTCGACTGGGTTTCTAGAATCAGTGAGCAACGATGAGGTGGTGGACTGCATGGCAACCATCTGCATTCCACCAAACTTACTACAAAAGTACATGAAGCAACCGTAGGCAAAGACGGGCAAGAAGAAAATGGTCACTTGAATACAACCGGTCCTTATTTGTGCGTTATCCAAATGCATTCGAAGGGTAAGCGTGAAATATTTAAAAATCGGACATTAAGTTTGTGTGAATAATTTGCTGACCCAAGATATTCGGTGTGAAGAAGTGTCTAAAGCAGATATGAGTGGATAGATGCTACAGATTCGTTGATAGTGCGTACTGCATAACTCAAAATCGGCATGTATTAAGTAAAAGTAACAAGTTTGCGGATGCGTCATGGGGACATGAGTAGAACGAAAGGAATATGAACAGACAAAAGCCTCCCCCCCCCACGAGTATGGCCACTGCTTATTGGGAGAAAGTGAGTACATTCCCGTCACCAGTACGTAGCAGTACAAACGACTAGTGCGGTATACTGTCAGAAAGAAAGATTATTCTGTTCAACCTATGAATCACTCTCCGAAATGCTAAAAGTATTAAATACATAGATGAGCACAAAAGGTATACTCCGCTCAGTATTGAGTATCTGGTTCGCCATGTACTTCAGATATTTAGCTAAACAGGCGGTTCGTGGGCGGGAGTACCCATCGTAAAATCTCACCTGCCCATACCAGATTGCTGTAAAAGGGTATTCTGGATGGCGATTACAAAACTTGGTCCAACAGACAAACCGGCCACTGATAGAATGATTTTACAGTAAACTTACACTCATCCATAGTCGTCGTGCAAATGATCGGTCCGAATCTTTAGCCCCTTTACGCTCACCACTGCAACCATACAGTTACCTTCAAGGCTTCTGATGTCCAGATTGTTATAGAGCAAGGCGGTGAGCCTATTTATTGAATATTCTGATTAAGCATCAGGTTACAACATTCTTGCTGAGACTACGTACATCGGCACACATCCCCTTAACCCGAAGAGTACGCTTGTGGTGAGCAAAAAGCAGGTGCTACTGTGTCAAGTGGCCGTAATGTAAAAGTATCAAGCCAGATGACGACGGGCCGACAGCGGACCATACCAACGCTTCAACGGAAGAAAAACGCTTTGGAGCCGCAGATGTGTGTACAGGGAATAAATGCAGAACTAGTGCATGCCAGGTAGCCGTCAGGAGAGCGTTTGAAGATGAGTGGAACAGTTAGTGGTCAGAGTCGATGAATATGTTTGGGTTATTTCGCGCTGACTGAGCCAATGCTGGTGTACACGATTGATTTATGGAGAAGCACCCGTAGCATTGGTAACAATGATGGTTTTAGTTGGCGCCATCCGGGTCCGGATTTGCCTGTCACAGTGGTTTCAATGGGACTGCCACAGGACGCCTGCGCCTACAGAGGTAGAATGGGTCGCTTCCGCTGCACCACCCACAGACCCCATACCCCGTGTAAACCCGAAGTAATAAGACCGGAAGGCGTATGCATGGGAGCCACATTTCATCTACGGAGTCGGCCACACTCCGGCAATATGCGGAGCAGCAGCCCTCCCGTCTCACTATGTACGGAATCATCCATACCAGACGTACGCAAGGTGGTGGCTGAACCGTACTCTGCTGCACACTGGATGGAATCACTCCTTGAGCCTAGCCCGACCACCAGGACCGTGCACTCCGACCCCCAAGCAACGATTCACAGTCCCATGGATCCAGTAATCGAGGTGGAGGATGTTGTCAACATTCACATCAAGAACACCCACACCAACGTAGGATTTAAGAGAAAGCAAACACGCAAAATTGACACATAGTAGTCAGCAGAATAACAGAATTGAGCAAACCAAAAAGTGGAATAACTTTTATCCAGACTAAAAACATCTAGCTTAAGCGTAAGTTGGTTTATCCCAACTGCACTGAAGAAGCATCATAATTGCAACAATGGTGGTATTAGTGGCATCAGTACTTATGCAAAATACGGTTCAGTAACCATTCGTTACGTGATTTACAGACAACTCGGATGACTCAACCTTTACGTAACTCACGACCACAGTGAATTCACCAGCACAGATGAGTCATTCAATATAGGAAGGGAAGGCAGTTAGCCAAATTTTTAACGAACAACACCTTGATGCTGTATATTTATTACAAGGACCCCCGACTGAAGGATGAACCGAAAACTAGCATGAATCATTGAACTCAGCTCTCGCAAGTGTGAGGTTTGCTCAACAAGCTGGTCACCTTGACAACAACCTGGCGGGTTGGTAACAGCTCGACAAATGTATTGAATTCCACCACTCTTAAAAGTGTTGCCACGAGTTTCACAGCAATATTAGGGTCTCAACTTGTTTGCTTTCATTCAACAGCCAATACTAATTTACTAAGCACGAAATCTTGTGAAATCTTATGAATTCATGGTACTTGGCATGTTAGAAATTTACTGTCGAACAACACAGCGACAGATTTGCTGGATACGGAGCTCGCACCCTATTGCTGGTGCCACGGTGACATTTCAACTGAAGGAGTTCAAAACAAGAGGGGAATGCTGTAACCATGTAAGCAGTATAGTCAGCACTCAATTCAGGGTGAGGTGTAGTTATTAGAGTACAGCTGCACCCTTTTCAAGCGCAACGGGTTTGTACGCAAAACAGCTCAGCCAACCAAGGTGGGTAACTTCTGCTCACTCAGCTAATCGTAATCCCATTATTTCCACCGTATCAAAGTGGCATTGTAGCTTGTCGCAAAGACAGTTTGATCCATATGTCACAGCTTCCTTCCCCAATCGTTGGGGAATTCCTCTTAAAGTTTGAGATCCTGGATACTACAGTTTTAGTTGGCAGGATGAAGAAAGCGATGTTCAATGTCCTTCGGTTTAAACCTGAAACGATGTATGATGTTCATCGTTTCGAAAAAGACAGAATGATAGGTGCTCATCACGAAGTTTCGACCTCTACAACAAATATCATCCGCCATGGTCACAAGTCTCAATATCCGACTCCTTCGGCTGATATCGCATTCCGTTATTTGGCACCAGCGGCGCCGGTGAAAAGGCAATCATTGCCGTTTTCAACGTTGTGGGGTGCAATGCTAGGCGGCGTGTCCAATTTCAATGCATCCTCCTCCACCAGCCGCATGTGAATCAGGCAATTCGACGACGCTAGATAAGTTACGCCGCCATGGTTAGTAATCTGAGAACGGACCATCATGGCGTCTCCGGCGCCATTTTGGAAGTAAACGGGGACAAAAGCAACTCAACACATCCAGTTGAATAAACAAGATGAATTTTGTTTCAACTGTGTGAGCTAAAGAGTTTTAGGCTCAACAAGTTCTGTTAACAACCGCATAAACGGTATCATATAGATATCGGTGGACTGATGGATCTCTCTACGAAGGGAAGTGTTAGGCGCCGCTTGAGAAGTGAACAGCAAATGGGAAGCGTAGAAAGTTTATGCCAGGACCCAAACAACGGTAAAACCAGATTTATCGATTTTCGTATGAAGTTGCAATTTACGTAAACGACATCCGTTGTCATGAGATTCGAACGCTAAGTTTGAAACTGATTCGGACCTCTGTTGTCTGAGCACACGTTATAACCGAAGTCAAGCATACTTTTCCGTTTTCTGTGTCTTGAGGGACTCAAAGAGTTCCTGACCAGTCGGTGCGTTAAGAAGGAAGGATGAACATAACGGTTGCTCCTTCATGAAAGCTGTCATTCCACAAAGATTAGCAATTTGTTACCACAAAATGGCGTCGTTAATGATGCTCTAAAAGGGGAACTATACTATCTGTCCTCAGTAATAAACAGCGACATTTAGGCATAACCCCAATTAACAGAATGCATTGTGTCATGACGCCTTTTGTGTCTGCACCACCAAGAGTAAAGGCTGAATTCGCAGTGAACAACATCGCACTGCCCACCCAGGTACACACACACACACACACACACACACACACACACACACACACTACGGGTGTGCCTCGAATGTGAGTTAATGGATAAAAGCGAACGGTGTGACAGCGTTTGCTGATGTGGTTAACTTGAGAACCAATCCGGTGTTTGTGAGGTCACAAGGTGGTATAACGTGAGTGGTTCATTGGACAGAGCCCTACGGAAGCCAGGCTAAAGTAACTATGTATATTTACAAAACAAAATGCAAGTAAAAGAAAATGGGCGAAAACACGACCAGATTCAGGGGTCAGCTTAGGTAGACTTTGTTGGCTGTGGCAGGTATTTCACAGAGGGCGTGCGTATGCTATAAAAAATAGAATATTCTTGGTGATTAGAAACGTTGTTCGCTATTGTTAACAGAAAAAACAGATGAGAGGTGGGCGAACAGTATTAGAAAATCAGTGATGTCCCTTCCAGCCGGCATAAGAACAATAGGGCAAGCCCCATAGAACAGCTAACGCGGAAGGAATTCGTCACAACCCACGGTCTGGCCCAACTGGTGTCCAGGACAGTAATAGCATCATTCAAGGTCAAATTGCTACACTGCACTTCTCTCTTGCACTCAGAAAATGGTACCCGCATGCATTAAACTAATAGGTGGAAATCCGTCACATCTAAACTCACTCAGACAGCCGTCACACGCCCGGAAAAGCACTGTACGCGCGGTTTATCCTTTCGGGAATCATCAGCAGTGCGCATTCCATCGGACCCTGGTAGTGCTCGAACCCGCAACTCGACTGTTGCCAGTCCATGGTCGAGACCACTGAGTTACGGGGGACGGTAGCGACCATCGTGAATTAGCCACTAGATGTGGTATAGCGCCGCTCACTATCGGTGGGTAGTGACTAATTCACGATGGTCGTTACTGTCCCCCGTAACTCAGTGGTCTCAACCACGGACTGACAACAATCGAGTTGCGGGTTCGAGCCCTATCAGAATCCGATGGAATGCGCACTGCTGACGATTCCCGAAAGGTTGAAATGCGCGTATAGTGCTTTCCCGGGCGTGTGACGGCTGTCTGAGTGAGTTTATATGTGACGAATTTCTACCTATACCAGTAAACTCCCCCTACTACTCCTCTGTAATAAACTAATAATTAGCTGTAGTGCGTCCCCTTCGTTTGATACACTCGAGTATGATGTACGGGGACATACGGAGATAGAACTGTCGCTTTCGCAATATGTCAAACTGGCGAAACGGTAATGGGAGTTAACGCGGTCACAAATGATGATCCACCAAAAATACCGAAAACCTTTGATGCAGTCTATTAATACGTAGTAACTGCTACGACCACCCGCGTTCTTATGGGCCTGGAATAAAGGAGTTGAAGAAGCGGCTCAGAAATCAACCAAAAAGCTAGTTTGTGCGAAATTGCTACAAATGCTGAGCGAGTTATTGGCAACTAACTGGGGGCAGTAAACGTGGATTTAGACAGCGTGGCGTGGAAGTCTAAAGTTCAGCAATGTATGGGCTATCTTAGGCTTGCTCTTGAGTCCTGGCATCAGGTAATGCAGCAGATTTAGCAGGAAACGACACAGCACTTATGTCTTTGCGTTCTTTGCGTCTGATGTGAGTTGATGTAACACTACGGCCTGCTTGTGCACAGAAGGAAGCTGAACGGCGTGACGTTGATATATAAAACAACAGCTACTAGCATAAGCGAGCGAGGTGAGCGGTGAAAGTGGCTTATGCGTGGGTTTGTGGTCGGAGCAAACCGGGTTGGCAAATAACCAGTTGATTTGAGCGGCAAGCATTAAATAATTCCACCTTAAGGTAATCGGTAACAAGACGTTGAACCGACAGAATAGTGGGTGTAGACAGATTAAGTGTCCAACCATGAATTAAGTTTCACGGACTCGGTGAAGTCACTAGATTGGACACAGCGCTACCAGACCGGTGTAGAGGCCTAGTTTAACCGGTAGCGCAGTTCCAGTGTTACGGAATTCGGGCCTGCTTGGTGTAGTTGGCTGATGAAGTCTCGACAATAAAGTATTGTAATTCCAAAAGCTAATTGAAAAGGTCGCTGTTGCGTATGGTGTGCCAGAATAACCGGCAGAAACAATCAGCCTTTTCTGTATTAGGCTGCAACATATGTCGTCCCTATGTGAATACTCTACTTGATGAGTTAGACTGTTGATAATTCACATTTGTTCGACTGAGCTTCGGTAATGCAACAGAACCGTTCATTTGCGGCTGTCATGCTGTGGTACACCCAGATGATAAACTGGTTACATAACACCGTTGGAGTATTTCCACCAATTCTGTCACAATTTAATGAGTAAGTTTGTTATTTTATTGGATGAACAGCTTGTATATATAACAGAACATTTATACTGAACGTATAGTTTCTACACAGTAATTCGGTTGGAGCCAACCAATGTATGGTGTGCTAAGCGTACTAGATGATGGGGGGGACAAACTCCTGGTTCATCAGGCGTGGATGTGGTGAAGGATACGATCAGTGCATAACCTCAGAAAGAACACCAATTTCGAAAGTTCTGTGTGAAGTTCGAAACCACATTCGGGTTCTGCTACGACCGTGCGCAACTATCGAGTCACATGGCAAAGAATACACTATAGATTTTTCTAAGATTGTACCTTACGCCAATGACATAATGAGTGATTCCTCCAATTTCCGCAAAATTAATGACAACTGACACAAACCATACGTGAGTTTGGAATCACCTGTAATATTTTCACGTTATCCACAATAGATGGTGGAATAACTACTAGTAACTAATCTAAATGATTTCTAAGGGCTACTGCGCACGTGGTTCGACATTCCAAGTCAGCCACTAGTCAAGGTGGTAAGAGTGTAAAACTATTCATCAGTTTTCGGATTCCAACTTGCGGTTGGCCCTCTCTGTAATAAAAAGAGTTCGTTCCCAATAAACCGGTTCTCATCGAACAAACAAAACAAACATACTTGTTTAATAACCTCGGAAATAAGAGTGCTCATTTATCCGATACTGGTCTACTGTCTTTTCCCCTTGCTAATATTTCCCATTATGTTCAAATTGACTAATTGGTAATACGAAAACGGAGCAAAGTAGTGTCAGCCAGCCACTCTGTCATACACAAAGCAAAAGTGACCTCGACAAAAACAGCTCATCATCCGGGTTGTTCAAAATGAGTGTGTAATATTGAATTCCTTTGTTGTCACTTCGATTCAGGGAATCACTGCCGACCAAACTGTCCACGGTATACAAAAGAGGTCAAAACATAGCATCCAATAACACAGGAAACCAGCCGCTATATTCTGTTAACCTGTTGATCAATAAACAGCAAGAAACATTGAGTCAATTATTTCTAGAAGTAAGCTATGCTTGTTTGAGCGCAGTGCATAGCAATTGTAAACGCAAATGTGAAGCCGTAAGTTAGTCTACTCTGTGTTAATCGGTCAAACTGCGTATGGAGCCTGTCTATAGTACAAAACCGGTCTGAATTCCACCTCTGCGTGACTAAGGTACGTATTGAGTGTATGGTTGGGGAGAAAACTTTAAAGCTAGGATAACCAATTATCAACTGTCGCAATTCATGTGCATTTTTCTGAACCCGGTTTATTCAGAAATTACTGAATGAGAGTTTTGAACATAAGCTTACCTTTGATTTCCTGGCCTGCGTTGTTACTGAGCATATTATGTGGTTGTAATGTGCTCCAATTGTTCCGCTTCCGGAATTTGACATACTTGCTGTGCTTGATCCGGGAATCCCATGAAAACCCAGCGGCAAAAGGCGTGCGTCCCCTCTACAGTTTAACTCATTAGCATTGGTGCAGTCATTCAAACATCGTGAACAGAGCAAAGAGGAGCAGTTTTTACAGTACAGTTCACAAGAATGGTTTGGGTGTTCACGACATCGTACCTCATTGGCGGACTGAGGTTTGGTGATCTTGGAGTTTGGATAATGACAGGGGCTGATTGCTCTGATATGATGCCTAGCGAGCATAACTGAGGCCGGATGCCACTTCGTTAGGCAAGGCGCACAATAGCGCAACTGGCATTGCTCGCAAAAGGACAGCATGGCAGAGTGTGTTGCACCAACCTCGCAAAGTTGACAATGTTCTGCAGGTGCGAATTCAACTGGTTCTTGCTCTGCCTCTTTGTCATTCTTAAGTGGATCAGAAATACGGGATAACAGATTTTCCAAAGCGACATTTTTTGGCCAGAAGTCTTGTGCACGGCGGTTGACATTAACATAATCAGGAATCTGGTGAAGTACTGCAGCACATACTGGGCATTGTTCACGCGTTGGGGGAGTGTGGGTGCATGACGGAGAGGAATTGTTTGGTGCATTTGCAGTTCCGTTAGCTTCCGAGCTGTAAACGACCACTCCGGAGTCTGCTTCGCTAGCCGCGTCGTCCCCACTTCCGGTGGAACAGCTAGCGCCACCGCCTACGATGGCCATTCTGCCCGATGAAAACCATAATTTGTTGGCGCAGCACGCACAAACAGTGTGGCCACAAGAAAGCAGCAGTGGGTCTTGAAATATTTGATTACAAAGTGGACAAGTCAACTCCCATCTGAGTTTCGGTAGGAGCATACTTCCAGCTTACTCACCGAAGCATTATTGCAGCACGCTTGCCGCTGCATAGACTAACCTCCGAGACCTTCGATTTGATTGGATGAGACATAAACCAATAGGGAAGGCACCTGTGACTCGTCACATTAGCGCCTTTCGTGTGTGATTTGACCGGACGGAATTCGTGCTTCTTAACATGTTCGTTGGTGTTTGGTTCTACGCCACCGTACGGTTCCCAAATGTAAGCTATGGGGTGGTCATCTTCGAGATTGGTCTTAAAGTCGATACTGTTCTTTGAGTAAACAGAAGCTTAACTAGCTCTTTTTGGAAGGTGTGGGTTATTGCAAAACTTCGGTATGTCCACATAAAAGTCGTGAGTGAAGGCGTCTAAATCAAGAGATTCCCGCTTACGCACGGCGCATCGAATTGGTTCGCACTTTCATCTTGAGTCAGTGAAGATGGTTTGCTCAGCATTTGGTTGTATACCAAACGCGTTTTATAGATCCCATGTAGCTCGTTTAACTAAAATATTAAATTCGTACAAACGCCGCTACTTTTTATAGTAAGTTGTCCAATGTACGGACTAACGCATAATTCGACTATAAGGTAGAAAAATAGCTCGGTTCTTAGCATGTGCGTGGAGTAGTTAATATGATACGGTGTCTATTTAATCACTAAAATTCTCTCGTTGGCTGGTGAATGTCCAGGAAAGATTCAAGTGAAGTTTATACTGTTACGAGCCACACCGCTTGATTCAACGAAACCAAACGATGTACACTAGAGCAATGTAAATTGCACCCAAGTGAGTCGGTGAAATGATAAATTTTGGCCAGTTCCCTAGCTAATATGGTGGCAAACGGACTTGCTTCGGGAACCGGTTGAGTAGGAGGGCAGTTAGAATTGGTCGGAGATTTCTGGCTATTCTAGGAACGTAACCCATCGGAGAGGACTATGGCCCGTTATTCTGTTTTACCCCTTGAACCTGATATTTATGAAGAAAATAATAAACGAAATGCTGTAGCCTTACAAACTTGTCTTTAGAATTTTCAAAGACAGTCGGAACAGCGGTTTTCTCCGGAATAGAAAAAGGTAACAATGTTTTAATATGAGTTACAAGATAACGCTTAACATCTCTCGTAGGATGGTCATGGTGAATATGCGATCCATGGAGGTCAGTAAAGGTGAATTCAAGTCGTGTGCTCACCGAGTTTTACATATTAAAAATTGAAAATCCATAAGGAATGAGGACAAATGCAGAGCTTTTACAAAAACCGTCACATGGTAAACACGTGAAAGAGGTGAAAAGGTGGAACGTATTCATGTTTAACTATTGGTAATGAGTCATGTGAGATGGAACAGCGAGGTAAGTCCACAGTCAACTGGGGCTTTGAACTGCTCCGGGGTGGAAGCACAGATGAGTGATTTTGTGAGGGCAATCCACGCTTGACAAACATGCACGGAAATGCAAATCTGACGGCATTCCAAACGGCTGTGCAGCTCTGACAGTTTGAACTTGTTACCTCTCCGTTAGCTGTTTTGACTGAGTTCCAACAAACGGTGGCATGTGTAGTTGGGATCCCTCGAAATCTAATAATGACACTGATGCCGTTGGATAGAATAAAGTTAAAACCTTGGAACAAGAAGGACTTACAGTCATAGATAAATATGTGCGACGGAGCAAGAACTCTAGGTCAAGGAACACAACTCATGTACGGATTTCTCCTCTCCTATGATCTTGACTCTCATAGATCGTGTGATCTGTGTATCAGTGCGATAGTTAGCTATGCTGTGCCCTAAACTACTTCATGGTTAAAATCGCCTCGTACAGCATACAGAAGCGGACCGCGTGAGTAAACCATTTAATGTAAAATGACCAATCATTAGAACAATGTACATTGTTTAGAAGCCCCTGCCACAACCGGCGAACAATTCAAAATCGATTTACAAGATCTAGTAACTACTGCTCCTCTTTACAACCACATCACTTTGCCCACTCGGTTCAGAACTGGTAACCGGCCATCTGTGTTGGATCTTGTGCTTACCAACGAAGAGCATATGATTGATGCGTTGGTTTTAGACTGCCCGTTGGGTCGCAGTGATCACGCAGTCATTAGTTTCAACTTCGTCTGCTATGCAGAATATCGGAATGATAAAGATGAGACTGTGCGAACCATCACAAGGTACGACCGACTCGCCCAGCTAGTCAGCGCCACAACATGGTCTTTCCTCGAAGAAGAACCCCCGGAAGTCGCCTGGCTCGAGTTCGTCAACACATTCAGTCAGCTGATTGCACAGGCTTCAGAGATCAAAGCTTACAATAAGTGCAAATCCGTTTCTTTCGTTAGGAGCAGAACCCGAAAATGGATGACAGTACGCAATGCAGCATGGCGAGTGTACAGAGAAGCTCCAGCACCAGAAACGTGGGACAACTACGTAGCCCAACGTAACCACTGCACTCAACTGTTAAGAGAAGACAAAGCCGCCTATCAGCAGAACATCGCAAAAACCTTCAGTGCTAACCACAAACTGCTGTACAAGCACGTTAATAGCCTACGAAAGGTGAGGCAAGGATTTCCTCCACTCAAGACGGCTGACGGCCCAACAAGAACGTCTGTGGAAGCTGCAAACGCGCTGCAGATGCAATACGCCCCCACGTTTCAAACGGTCTTGCCACCAAGCGATCTACCAAGCTTTGTCTTCTGCTCACCAGGACTAACCCACATCAATTTTACCGCAGAGGCTGTATTGCAAAAGCTGACCTCTCTACGCAAACACAGCTCGCCGGGTGTCGACGCCATTCGTCCTGAGGCATTGGGAGTAGCAGCAAACCAACTGGCAGGACATTTTGCTCAGTTTTTCCAGCACTGCTTAGACCAGAACCAAGTTCCCGCCATGTGGAAGCTTGGAATAATAAGCCCGATTCACAAAGGTGGAAGCAGATCTGATCCCTCCAACTACCGCCCAGTAACCCTTCTTCCTATACTCTCCAAGGTCATGGAATCCATAGTTGCCGATGCACTGGTGTGCTATCTGGAAAACTGCAACCTCATCTCTCCTGAACAGCACGGTTTCCGTCGACAGCGGTCATGTACAACTAATTTACTCATTGCACGCAGTAGTTGGACCGAGGCAGCCGACGCTGGAGAAGGTGTTGATGTGATCTACCTGGATTTTTCCAAGGCTTTCGATCGTCTAGACCATCGGATACTACTATCCAAGCTGCAGCATTACGGGATCGGAGACCCTCTTTTAAGCTGGATCGCCAACTTTCTATTTCAAAGGCAATTAGTGGTCAGAGTTCGGAGCTCTTTATCGGACCCCATACAAGTCGAGTGTGGTGTGCCGCAAGGCTCGGTTCTAGGTCCACGTTTGTTTCTGGTGTTTATTAATGACCTTGCACAGGGAATCGCTTCAAACTTTCTAATGTTTGCCGACGATATCAAGATCTGGCGCAGGATCCAGGCGAACGCCGACCAACATGTGCTCCAAAGTGACTTAGATACAGTGTATCAATGGTCGATCCAAAACGTATTGCATTTCAACGTCAGTAAATGCAAGGTGCTTTCCATCCGACATCACGCCAGCTACTCATACCGACTCGGAACGGATGTACTGCAAAAATCAACTCTCGAACGTGACTTGGGTGTCCTGGTTCAAGATGACTTGGGTTGCTCCAAACAATCGGAAAAGGCCTCGAAGACCGGGAATCAACACGTTGGGCTGTTGAGGCGGGCGTTTGGACAAATAAACAGCTCCATATTTCGACAAATGCTCAGTGCGTATGTTCGCCCCCATGTCGAATACGCAATTCAAGCCTGGCATCCATGGCTGAAACACGACCTTAATGCACTGGAGCAGCCTCAACGCCGCGCATCTAAGAACGTAACTGGAATGCGCAATCTGTCCTACCAGGAGAGGCTGCGACGACTAGGATTGTTCAGTGGAAGCTATCGCAGGCTACGAGGCGACCTGATTATGACATACTTGATTCTGCGAGACCCACATCATGTGTGCCGCCCTTTACTGCAACTCAGCAGCAATACAAACCTGAGGGGCCACTCATTAAAACTCGCAGAACAATACAGTCGTCTGGAGTGCCGCAGAAATTTCTTTTCCATCCATGTCTGTCACCCGTGGAATGCTCTCCCAGAATCGGTCGTCTCTGCACCGACACTAACAATATTTAAAAGACGGTGGATTTACCATGGAAAATGAAAGCAACCGCCCAGCGATTGCTGTAAGTAAACAGTAGGACGAAAAATTATCAAGAAAAATTAATGAGTAACGGCGCAGTCACCGCAGTTCCCACATTAAACACTTTTGTTTAAGTTTTCACACGTTCCAATAAGGCGGGTTAAATTAGCCAGTGCAGGTGACGTAATGTATCATCAAATCGCATTTTGTATTAAACCGACGTAGAATCTGAGATGGCAGAATGTGGAAGATGATTCCACGGCTGGGAAACATGAATAGAGAGAAGGTTTCAGTGGCATTCGAACGGGCTATACCTTGTGGTAATCCGCAACTTGTGGCTTCTTAGTGAAGTGTTATCTCTGTCTCAACAAGTGTTCGCACGGGTGGTTAGGATCCTTGAGGGGTTAATACACCAATATAAGATTACCCTGAAGACGACGATGCTGTTCACGGTTAACTTCTAGCGTCCTCAGACTAAATTGGTAATATGTTATAAAGGTCGTAGTTGGGTTTGGACTGTCCTAGTCGGAACGGACGAACTCTTTTACTCGTTGGTTTCCACGCACAGAGTACCTTAGACGATTCGAATTGGAACGACTAATGGACTTAGTCGGCAGACGTGGACCGTAACTGATAAGGCAGCCGGAATATGTAAACGACACACAACTCTACCGAGAACCGCACAAAGAAGA